TACTGGTAAGTATCTTAATATTAAATTCCAGCTTTGAAAAATGTGGATGAAGGCAAAACTTATACCTGCTTCCTTGGACATTCGGGCATCTTGCTTCCATGGTGGCAACAGGGCCAATCCTAGCATTAGACAGAGAGAGGCACCTGGCACAAGTGACAGGTGTTTGGGGAGCAACAGAAGCCTTTTGGCTTTTTCTCTTGAGCTCCTTCACATTCTCTTCTCTGGGCGAATCTTTGTATGTTACACAATGCATTCTACAATCACTCAGCCAGCCTGTGCAGCTGAGGATACTACCCCATTGCCAGTCTTGAAGTTAAGTTCAGTTGCCAGCCAAGTCTGTTTCTGTATGTGGGATGAAGGAGTGAGGTTACCATCTTGTCCGCTGTCTCAAGCAACAGGATATTTTAGACTAGCTCTGATAACAGGCTTTTCCTTCCTTACTACCCAACTGTGTTCCCTATGACAAAATCTTAAATTTGTCCTACAGAAGTCAGACAAATTTTAAGTCTTCTGGTAAGGGTAAATTACCTGCTTGTTGTTTTGGGAGAAAATTAATGCAAATCATTATCTGGATGAAACTTTTGCTAGTGGCCTCACTAATGTTTTAGTGGTGTTCCTTTGACTCAGTTGTTTTTTTGTTCCGAACTCTTGATCTTGAAAGTAATCCTCATGGGCTATTCTGCACTGGCTCTCACAGTGTTCATATACTTGGGGGTTAAAAACACTGATGAGATAAAAGTCACTGCCACTTCATGGTGGATTACTGTAAAAGTTAATTCTAAGTTATTGTTGCACGTAAGTAAAATTTCCACCTCCACTAAAAGCTTTCAACCAGTTTTTATGGTTTAAAGTGAGTGCAAACATTTTTGTGTCAATTCTTCGTCCTGAAAATGGTATTTTCCTAATTGGGATATTGATTCTGTACTGTATGAAGTACCTACGATTCTTTTGTTGATCCTTTAACAAAAATCTCTCTGTTTTTGAGACACTTACAAGTGATAAGCAATGGCGTCACAAAAAATGATGAAACAGATTACCAGTGATGAGACTAGATGTTATTTAAAGTAAGTTGTATTGCCACTGAAAATTCTCATGGCTGAGAGAAACGTATGTAAGATGATGTTTTCTCAGTGATTGTTCATTAATTAAGTGCAAGCACTATACTGGGTGGTTCACATAAAATGAAAACTTAAAACCCTCAGTACCCCACAATAACCAAAAATACATTCGGAAACAGTACTGTACAGTAATACAACAGACAATATTTGCGACTATAAATAAAAATAATCCTCTAAAAATCCAGAATTAAGTTTTAAAAGTTGTTATTGATAGCATCCTGAAGATTTATTTATTAAAAGACAGTTTTAAATACAATAATTCCATCTTTACCATCTTTCTAAAAATAAGGAGTGAAGTATCCTGGTGTATCTCTATCAGAATTTTATTCCATGGACTAGGGGCCACAATTAAAAAGGCTCAATTTCTTATAATTGCTGTTTTAGACTCCCTCAGTGTAGCAACCTTTAACAATGTGGATTGAGAGGAGTGGGTGGAACAGATTTCTAGGAAGGATGTTTCAGTAAGTATCAATCTCTAATCCATTAAGTGTTCCCAGTACTGTATTTTGGGAAGCTGTAGTCTAACTGCATTATAATTGACATGGTATGGCTATATCATAAGTTTAGCTGTTTAATATTGAGAAGTCTTTGAAGTAGTAAAAGGGTCTGGTTGAGTAAAGTGTCGTCATCATTTAGTCGTGTCCGACTCTTCGTGACCCCATGGACCAGAGCACGCCAGGCCTTCCTATCTTGCACTGCCTCCCGTAGTTGTGTCAATTTCATGTTGGTTGCTTCGCAGACACTGTCCAGCCATCTCATCCTCTGTCGTCCCCTTCTCCTCTTGCCGTCACACTTTCCTAACATCAAGGTCTTTTCCAGGGAATCTTCTCTTCTCATGAGATGGCCAAAGTACTGGAGCCTCAGCTTCAGAATCTGCCCTTCCAGTGAGCACTCAGGGTTGATTCTCCTTGCAGTCCAGGGGACTCTCAAGAGCCTCCTCCAGCACCACAATTCAAAGGCATCAAGTGTAGTGTCCATTAATACTGCATCTATTTTTCTGTGGCTCATGTTTTCTATCTATACACATACAAGTTTCACTATTGTATACCGTATTGGTAGCATTAATAATTAGTAAATTTGTTTGGGCTTGGTGAAAAAAAGGATTTATCAAAGTGGAACATGGTACATCTCTAGGACATCTAGAACTTTATCATAGGATTCTTCTGTAACCATTTCACTGTGTAAAAATAGACAATAGAATCCTAAGAACAAGTTCCCAGAGAAAGCAGTGTTTTGTGCTTGCGTGGAGTGGCTCTTTCTTGTATCTTCTTCCGTTAATTTTTCCAGATCCTGTTCAGAATGTCCTGTTTAGCTATTGAAGCCAAACCTGCCATTAGAATTAATAGACATGATCTGATTGCCCAGACACATTCAATTTCCTGATCTTGTCCGATTACTCTGACCTAAAAAAAAAAAAACACCCATCTTGGTCAGTTTTTCAACTTAGCTTTCTCTCTCAGCAGTCTCTGTCAGGCTTTTATGCTGTGCAACAAGCTGCAGAATTGCTAATGGAATAAATCTGATTTCACGAAGAAAGCCCAGCTGTCCATGATAGATGTGTGGCTTTGTTTTTTGTGGATAAACATTATATAGAGCTGCAGTATGTGAAACTACACAAGAGTGTAGGCACAGATGTCTCAGAAAAAGCATTGATATTTGTATATATCACTTGGAACATAGCTTGAGAACTGTGGCTGCAATAGAAGAGTTAAGAATAGAAAATAAGATTTAACAGAGTTAAACAGCATAGGGAGATAATGATCAAGTGACAATTATTTGCTTCCATCGATACAAGACTTGATTCACTCATGAACTGAAGCTTCTTTCGGTGAAACATCTCACCAGAGATTATTTACATGTAACCAAACTCATGGTTGCAGCTGTCAGGAGGTTAACATGATTTATATGATTAACATCATTTGCGGTGTTTTTTTAACATTTGATGTTAAATACTATCCTTCTCAGATCTTTTGCCCAGATATTCCACCCTTGCTTCAAACAATTATAGGAGTGTGAGAGTTCTTGTTTAATTAAGGTAAGTCAACACAAAAATGGTCCCACTGTTATTAGCTTCAAAGTTCTATTAATTATCAGAATGATAAATGTTGAGCAAGTTTGAAATTTGGCATTTTTTTCATCTACTTGGCAAGGTTTACACATCAAGCAAACTGCATGAAACAAAATCCAGTGACAGAACAGACCAGCATATATTGAAGATGATAGTGGGACCCAAGGGTATCCATTTTGAGAACAGCACAGAGGGAAGCAGGTTAAGAGATAAACTTGCTTATTATTTGAATTTATAATTGTAGGAGTATTTTACCTCGGAGCATCTAAAAGAATGATTTCCTGCAGTGAAATCTGAAGTGGTATAATCATTTCCATTACCTCACACTGAGCAAGGGCCACCTGTTGAGATGATTGTAGATTTTCTCCACTGTTGCATCGCAAAAGACATTCAACTAGTTTGTTGCAACACCGGAAAATAAAATACAAATCATAGCTCTCAGGCAGAGATAGGTGAAGGTGGAAAAGAACATGCTGTATTGTAAAGACAATGGCCAGGGGCTAGAAATATATTTTGCCACTCAACATGACTGCATATCTGGCCAGATTTATTTATTTATGTCTTTATCCCGCCCAACTAGTGACAAGGCCACTACTTTGGGTAGCGGGAAAGTTAAGATAGCACAATATACATGACAAAACCAATAATAAAAATCAAATAAAACCACAGACAAGGGACATAATAGTATAATAGGACCTCAATTATGCAGCACATACTGTAATTGCAAACAAATACTGTATAGCATTGAAACATGGAACTCAATTGCCTTTTAACATTTATATATATATTACATCTTTACTAATTATAAAAATTATTTTGTGATGCTGTGAGGTTCTGGCTGTCCATCCCTATTTTGAAATGTTTGTACTAAATTAAAAAGCAAAAAATACACTCACACACCTAAAACCCATGGGCGCACTGTATTCTCTGTGTTCATAAAAACAAAGAGATCTATTCTCAGCTTAAGTAATGGGAGCCCTCACAATTTTTGTACATTTTCAAACATTCCATTTGACTATAGTAGTAGGGTGCACTACTGTATTCCATTGCCAGTATTGAGAAGCAAAGATCATCTGCCAGTCAAATCTTCTATGTGTGGAAATGAAGAAGGTGTTGCTCTCTCATTCTTTGTTTGAAACAGCAAAAGTTCTTGGACCAGTCCTGATTGCATGTTTCGTCCACCTCACTATTCAGATATGTTTCCAGTTGCAGCCTTTTAGATTTTGTATACCTTGGTTCAATACAAATGGATATAGCAGCCAAGAAATCAGAAGACTGTGGTTAGGAAAGGTAGCAATGAAGGAATTAGAAAAAATAATCAAGTGTAAGAATGTGTAACTAACTGGAGACCAAGGCCAAGATCACCCACACTGTTGTAGTGCTGATTACCCTGCATGGGTGTGAAAGCTGGACGGTTAAGAAAAGTGACAGGAAAAAAATTAATTTGTTTGAAATATGTTGCTGGAGAAGAGCTTTGTGGGTACCCTGGACTGCCAGAAAGACAAACAGGTGGGTCCTAGATCAAGTCAGGCCTGAACTATCTCTGGAGGCAAAAATGTTGAAGCTGAGGTTGTCCTGCTTTGGACACATCATGAGAAAGCAGAATTCTCTGGAAAAGACAACAATGCTGGGAAAAAATGGAAGGAAAAGAGAAAGACCCAATCCCAGATGGACTTACTCCCTAAAGGAAGTCACAGGTTTGAGTTTTGTAAAAGCTGAGCAAGGCTGTTGAGGACAGGACATTTTTGAGATCACTCTTTCATAGGGTCATCATAAGTCAGACGTGACTTGACAGCCCATATCAACAAGAGAAGTCAGTGAGAAGCATTTACTTTAATAAAACAAAAATCAAGGGCTTACACACTTGCCCCCAGATGCCTGTAATGGCAGCATGACCACTTGTTTCTCTGTCTTGTTGGTTATAAGATGTTACTGTCCCTATAAGACCTCTTTTAAACTTTGAGTTCAAAAATGAATTCTTGACATTTCACTAGAATATAAAGTAATGCCATACATTTGCCATTATTTGACTCCATTTAATCTTTAAGCCCATTTTTGCTGCAGAAGATTTCATAATTTTTCCTTCCTTATGAATCACGACCTATACTAAATTTTGTCACAGATGCCTCAGTCAGTAATATATGAATCTTACAATGTATATTGTATATTGTGTATAATGTATATTGTGTTGCGTCACTGTTGTGCATGCAACTTCATGGAGATTACTTGCATTTGGGTCAAAATAGTATTCTGTCATCCTGTTAAAGAAAAGGATGAGTTCTAGTTGATTAAATAAGGTAAGTCTGCATAAATGTGCCTGGGGAAAGTCATTTTAGAAAGAAACATACTTTGTGCTAGATCTGGATTTGGTCATATTTAGAACACACATGTTGAAAACCATAGTGCAGTTCAACAATGCAGCTAACTTTATTCGTCTTAATTTCAGTATGTCTCCCCTGAGAATGACTAATTTTGGATTTATTTCTTTGTTTTAAAATAACATTTATCTAAGAAAGAATCAAAAAGGTAGTCCATCTTGTGCAAAATATTTAAGTGTCTCTGCTGTGATGCTGTACAAATAAGGATTTTGTAAGTACTCATATTAAAAAAAATACTGTTAAAACATTTTAAAAGGTGCTGATTGGTTTAAAGAGAGATACAATACTTTTTAATAGTTCAGCCAATTAGCTGAACATTGCATCCCTGTTTTCGTGGAGATAACCTGGAAATATCAGGGTTGGTAAAGATTCCAGATTTTAGTACACGTTGGCTGTTCAGTCTGTTAAGAGTCTCTTTTAAAAATATCACTAGATACAGAATACAGTACTGTGTTGTCCAGATTCCAGAAGTCTGTATACTTTGAAATGTACAATGTTCATTTATTTATATTTTTTAAAACAGATTTTCTTTTTTTCTGCTTTGTCCTCAAATATTGGCTGGAATTAATTCAGCTGTCCAGGTTCCTGATCTTGTAAATGCCAGTGTGCTTCCAGTGGGACTTCAGCTTGCTGGAGTACTTTAAGCCGGTGGTGCCTCTCTAAGCATTCCATAACAAGTGGGTATGTTGCTGGCTCAAATTTGTTGGCAAACAGGTGTGGAGATTCAGCAATCCACTTTAAATCTCCAAGGCCATATACACAAATGTCTCTGACATAATGACCTGCAAAAGAAAAGTCATAAATGAACAATCCCTATCTGGCTGTGTTCAAGGAAGTGAATTGGATGTTATATATTAAAGGTTGGGGAAGGGTGCATTCATGGTTTAAATCACACATAATAGGATGCTCTATTCTAATGCTTGATATGCCTCTAGGATAGCTATATGTTCTGGCTGCCAATTCCTTTTGATCTATTCCAGTGCCATCTCTTGGGCTATATCGAGTAGGGATGGCTTTTCTTAGAGAGGCACATAAGATCACAGTGTGGTTGGCAGTGGAAGTAACATAGGACATTATTCCATTACTGTACCTCATTGTATTTTATCTTGGTGTTCTCTGCTGAAGATCCAAACAAGTTGGTACAGTACAAAGTTTGAAAAGATGTGTATACAAATGAAAAAGAGTGAATACTGCTGCATATGGATGTGGGTGTGGGTGGGTCTCCAGTAAGGTTGATATTAACAATGTGTTCTCAAATAAAAAGTGTTCCCTATTGCCACTGCAGTTATAAATCAAAGTCCAAGATAGTAAAATCTCCCATATGCATGTGTAAAACATATGTTTATGCAATGCATCATGGTGTTTTAACCATGCCATCCTGTTTACTTTTACTTGATTTAAATCCCATTGAGTTCATTCCAAGGTGAATGTGTATAGAATGGCAAGCAATGGGAAGTTGCAGTGTGTAGAAGGTCCCATTCGGACAACATCAGGCATTTTAATGTATTCAAAACATTGCATAAGTGCATTCAGTTTATTTGCTACATTTAGATTCCACCATTTCTCTAATGGCTCTCCTCCTCCCTACTGTTTATTCACAACAGTTAGTAAGACCGATAAGTCAAGTTAAAAAACAGTGTCCGTTTCAAAGTCAGCCAGAGAGTTGCATAGCTCATTGGGACTTTGAACTCAAAGCCTCAGTCCAGCCCACTAACCATTATATCACATTTATTCTTCAAGTTTTCTTGGCTTTTTCATGTTAAGACATGGGATATTATTCCCTCGTTAACTGCATTGGCAATGTCCTTTTCCTGAGTGTAATGCATTTGTGTACTGCTACAAATGCATCCTATAATGCATTTGTAGCATGGGGGCAAAAATGTCATTGTGCTTTGAACATTTAGGTCCTGACTAGGCAGACATGATGACGTAGAGCTATACCCATGCTAATAACTAATGTAGTAGTTAGTCAGCATATCAAAACAGGAATTGAGACACCCATATTTAAATTCTTAGTTACCGTATTTTTCGCTCCATAAGACGCACCGGACGTTAAGACGCACTTAATTTTTAAATACTGAAAATTAAAATAAAATAAAAATATATAAACAGAGCAAGTCCCACACTGGGACTGCCAAAAAAAATCACCAAAAAACAAAGCAACATAGAAACATCCAACATGAATTTGACCCAACTCCGGGAAGCAGTGGAAGATAGGAGGGCCTGGCGTGCTCTGGTCCATGGGGTCACGAAGAGGAACGTTTCAACTTAAGAACACCATTCCAAAACGGATTAAGTTCTTAAGTAGAGGTTCCACTGTAGTTTCTATGGACGGAAAAGAGCAGATACGGATTAAATGGTTTTCAATGCATTCCTATGGGAAATGCAGATTCAACATAAGAACTTTTCAACTTGAGAACCACCTTCCAATACGGATTAAGTTCTTAAGTAGAGACCCCACTATACCCGTGCTAATAACTAATGTAATAGTTAGTCAGCATATCAAAACAGGAATTGAGACACCCATATTTAAATTCTTAGTTAGCTATCATGCTCACTGGGTGGTCTTGGACATGATCATATGGAACTGTTGTTCATGGAGTATGAAGTACGGGTGAGAAATCCATGAAAGCAGATTTGAATTCCTTTGAGAGAAGGTCGGAAATTTAGATAAACTACTACTACTATTGCTAGCACATTGCAGCAAAAAAACCTGTTGCCTATGTGTGTTTTTTCAGTGTTTTGTGAATGGTTATGCATCCCTAGGGCTCGGCAGTGTGTCTTGAACCTCATGCTGAATTCAGCTACTGTACTGTATTTTACCTTTACAACCATCATGGGCTTTCCCTTCTTGATCTCTCCACTTGATCGCTCGTATGTTTCCTTCCCATTCCAAATCTGGCGTAGAACCTGGAGCATCTAATAACAAAGGCAAAAGAAATGTATCTCTGTTTCTCCTCCAAGAAACATATGTGTTATGCTTGAATTTATAGGCAGCCTTTCACTTTGGCTAATAGTCGGCAAAGGGGATATTCCTTTTATTTTTGTAACTCACAAAGCAGACTAATAATTGATTCTAATCCTTTTTACCAAAGTATTGTTCTGTAGTTTGAGTTTGGGGTTTAGCTTACATTCTATGACAGGGACATGGTGGTGCTGCAGGTTAAACCGCAGAAGCCTCTGTGCTGCAAGGTCAGAAGACCAGGCAGTCGTAAGATCGAATCCACGCGATGGACTGAGCTTGTCCCAGCTCCTGCCAACCTAGCAGTTTGAAAGCATGTAAATGCAAGTAGATAAATAGGTGCCACCATGGTGGGAAGGTAACAGCATTCCGTGTCTAGTCATGCTGGCCACGTGACCACGGAAACTGTCTTCGGACAAAACACTCAGTCTGTTGGTTGGAAACGGAGATGAGCACCGCGCTCTAGAGTTGAACACGACTGGACTAAACGTCAGGGGCAACCTTTACCTTTACCTTACATTCTATGAATCAGAAATGGCCAGCTATGGTTACTTTACTTTAGCAGAGATGGGAGAGTTCCTCAGTGCACCGTCAAGGGAAATGATATGAGTCCTAAATAGAGATCAGCATGAAGCACTTCATCATGCTTCGTGCCAATCCGTAAGCTAGGCACCAGAGGTGCTGCACACTCCTCCCTCCCTCTCCAGACTTCTCAAGCTGCTAGGATGCTTCTTATCTGGCACTCCAAACCAGGCAGGAACTCAGCTGACCCATCCCCACCTCCTCTGCCAGCCCACCAGTCTTCAGCTGAGTGAGAAGGATCACTGTCCTGCCTCCTTGTTGGAGTGATTAGCTGTCAGAGGAGGCAGAGACGGGCCAGCCCTGCTTCTGAGAAGGAGAAAAAGGAGCATCACATTTATCTCCTGCAAAAGGTCTAGGGCAAACAATGAAATAATTTCCAGAAGTGGGCAGTCAATCGTAAATGGCCATTAAGGAGATTGAAGAGTTTTCTATTGTGACCAAATTCAAACAGGCTCTTGAAATGGATGTAGAAAACCTTCTTTAGCTTCCTTTTAAAATTCAACAGTTTGTGTGGAGTCAGGAACAATCCTGATATAGGATTTATCTTTCTTAATAAATGGCACTTTTTGCTAACATTTTAATAGAGCTATGGCTAAAATTTCTTCAATGAGAACTGCAACAATTCTCAGTCAGTTTGATGAAAAGATAATGCCTTCGATAAGAATTGCAAAGGAAGAGAAAAGAGGTTCAGTATTATTTTGCTTCTCCTGCTTATGATGTGGCTGTATTGCCTTGAATCATCCTGCAAGACCTGTTCTGATCAGGAAGTGTGGGCATCCAGGGAAACTGCAGAGTAATGATGAAATATAGAATTCTCTCCCACAGGAAGTCAGACTGGCCCCCTCTTTGCTGTCCTTCTGCAGGCCAGCAAAGGCTTTTGTCTTCAGGCAGGCTTTTTCTTAGTTATTGTCTGACTTCGACTGCTGTATTGTTTTGTTGTTTGCTTGTTTCCTCCCTCCGCTTCCAGTTTTTTTGTTTTTTTTGTTTTTCGATATTGCATGCATTGTGTCTCCTTGAGGAGAAAGGCGAGGTATAAATTGGATGGGTGGGTGGGTGGATGGGTGGGTGGATGGATGGGTGGAGAGCACCCTTAGCCACCTTGACATATTATAGTAAGTGCAAAGATGTAGCCTAAAGAATTTCTAAATATCTCTTGTGACTGGGGAGAAAATTTGAAGTACTTTTAATAGGAAATGAAGCTTCTGAGAAATTAGAGGAGATGGTTGTTGTGGGTTTTTCGG